TCATACATTTGTTCACTTTTAACTGAATGTTTTCAGATGGAGGAATTGGGTAGTACGATTGGTTTTTTCAGTTGTTATGGTTTCTTTGTTTTACATCATCGTTAAGCGTGGTCCAACTTGGCTAATGGCTCTGGTAAGTGAGGCAATAATTCTTCAACTGTAGGAAATATAAATATTCTTGATGTAACTGTGGAGCTTCCTCTCTTCAATAATTAGATGTTTATTTGAGTATCAATGGTTTTTTAAAATTGATACTTTCGGTTTAATCTTGATATTCTTTCTTTGAATTTTTTAACGTATCTCTGCTAAGAGCCTTCCAGACATTGAATTTCAAAGTTTCTTTATCCCCAATCTGTAGCGAATATAATTTAAGGTATTTGCCATCCAGTTTAAATGCTTTCATGAGATTATAACAATTGGTTTGGCAGTTTACCGATTATACGATCTTCCTTGGTTTCGAGCACTATCTTGGTATTTTCTTTTAACCTCAAACTACTTTTTCTTTGGCGAGAGTTTGATTGATTACTGGGGCATCTTACTGAGGAAAGATGTAAGCTTAATTTCTTTACTTCTATATGTTTTATTGCTATTTCTTTGACTTATTTGGTTGTATAATTTTCTTTTGTTATGATTAAAGAACTGGATGACAATATCACCTCAAACTTAAGTATTGCAGGCTTTCTCTGATCTTTGTATTTACAAATTTATCTTCTGTTAAACTAATTAGCTTGGGAAATTTAATATGAGCTTTTCTTTGCTTACAGCAATTTTTACACTTTCTTGTGGCTCATCACCGGCTGATCAGTTTTTCTTTATACTGTCTTGGCTTTGTATGGTTTGTATTGTCACTAAGAAAGGGCTACTATATGAGACAGTTCTCGTTAGTAAGTCACATTTTGATGACAATTTTTCTTAAAATTTCGAATTATTATATGTGTTGTTTTCATCTTTAAAATCGCTAATCTTTTAAACGTTTTAGTTCGCTTGGTCTCATGTTACTCTTTTGCTGATCGTCTCGCAGTCGTTCCTCATCATACAGAACATATTTCAAGGGATTATATGGTTAGTTGTTCGAACTTGTTTATTTATATTTATTTAATCTAGAAGCAGTCACTTACACTGGCTTAGTTACTAAAAGTTACTTCCTTTTTACCGATAAAAACTTCAGGTTCTTGGTTCCAGTATCTATGATTATTTGCTGTGACATAATGTCATATGTCTTCGGTTTCTTTTTTGGACGAACTCCTTTGATCAAACTTTCTCCAAAAAAGACTTGGGAAGGCTTTATTGGTGGTGGCATAAGCACAGTTGTATTTGGTGTTATCGTAAGTTTTCTTATAATTAAAGGGCTTTTGTTTCTGTTTTCAACAACATTTTTCTAGCTTTCATATATGCTCCTTCACAATCCGTTTTTCGTTTGTCCTGTTGAAGACTTTTATGAGTCGAATTACAACTGCACCATTCCATCATCTTTTCAGTTAAGGTCAGCGATTTCAAAGGTCTTTTATTTGAAATGAATTAGAAAACTTAGTTATGTCGCCAACAACTTCATTATTGGTTCAGAACCATAATTTTCAGAGACTTTGAAGTCGGCCGCCCAGTTTCATATTTGTTGCAACATACAGTTAAATCGAATGTGGTTCACGTTTATCCGTTTTTGCTTCATGCTGTTATAATGGCTCTTTTTGCATCGATATTGGGCCCGTTTGGTGGATTTTTCGCAAGCGGATTTAAGAGAGCTTTCAAAATTAAGGTGATATAATCTCCTTGCTCGTGAACTTCTCTTTCTTCTCTATTTGCAATATTTAGTTTTTACTTTGTCTTAACAATAAAGGTGTATCTTTCTCATCTACTTCTCGTTGCTGGCTGATTAGATACGATAGGAATGATTTCAATTCGCACTTCGCAGTTTAAAGTGTTTATTAGCTTTTTAGTTTATTTTATCGTGCAAAATACTGTTTAGGACTTCGGTGATGTGATTCCTGGACACGGTGGTCTTATGGATCGCTTTGACTGTCAGCTTTTGATGGGAACGTTTGTGAACGTTTACATTCACACCTTTATTAAGTATGTGTCTTCAGCTGATTTTAAATTATTTTTTATTCATTCTTTTCTGTCTTCGTTAGGCCACTATGTCACCAAATTTTGCCTGGTTGATAAATGTTTGGAAATATCTAATAATTTAGGTTTTACATCACGAGTTTCGTTTACTTACTAATTTCTGTCTTTATATGTCTTTTAAGTGTTTGGGGTTGTCGCTGATTTCAGTTTTTTAGTTGTTTATATATCTGTATATTTATTAGCTGTTTCTTTATCTTAATTGCTTTTTATTTGCTGACCAGTTTTTTTCATGTTTAAGAAGATTATTGGAAAAAGTGTTTGTTAATTTAAGGACCGCTAATGCTGCGAAGATTTTGCAACAGATATCTTGGTTACCAGTCGAAGATCAACTTTCAGTTTATCACTCACTTCAGGAACGTTTGAATGCAGAAGGTCTTTTGCCAGTATTGTCCTAAACATATCTGTTAAAACTTTTTAACGGTTCTGTAATTATTTAACAGTACTGTTTTCTGATCTTCTTTTACAGCTTTAATGGCTTTTGACTTAATTTGTATTCAGCGCATTACCTCTGCTTTCCTAGATTGCTGTCAGCAAAACTTTTTTAGTACTTCTTTATTCTTAATTAATTGTTTTGCTACTCTGAGATTGTTAATTCAGGCTAATTGCATTCCTTCATTTTATTTCTCTTGCATCTCGTAGGTTGTTATTTGAAAGCTGTTGTATCACGAGCCGTTTCTTTTCGTATTTTAAGCCTTTAAAATCAGAAATTTGCATCAAATATTTGATATTTTTATTAGGATTGTGTTTTATCTGTTTTATCACGTGTGATGTTCTATGTCAATTCCATCTTACCGTTTCCATTTTCTTTTTTTTTTTTTTTTCTGTGGCAGACCGTTTTGTTTGAAAGGGTGGTTTGACTAACTGTCTTTTCGAGGTATTGTTGGGAAGGATTCTTTTGGATTATCCGTTCGAATGCAAACTTCACCATTCAGTAGTGCCCTAAAATGAGACGAGCTTAAAAATGTTTTTGTGTAGTCGTAAAAGTTGTGTCGTACGAGTGATTTGCGTTTACTTTGTATTTATAGTCATTTTAAGTATTACCTATTTTGTGAAGTGTTTTTATTAATTGTTAAAATGATTCATTTTGTGTTGTTTGTTGCTGTTCAGTAGTCGACAAGCTCTGCTACAATTAGAACTGGACTGATTTACAGGCTTTCCTTCTGCAAGCCTAGACAATTATTGACATCTATGTGAGTTACATTTTATATTTCTTTTTTTTAACACTGTAAATATGGTCAGAGGAAATATTGAGTATTTTTTGTTTTTATTATGATAATAGTGAGTAAAGATGAAAATAGTTTGTTGTTTGTTTCTTTTTACTGCGGAAACTTTGAAGGGAACATGGATTAATGACAGTTACAATATTAAACTTTGGGAATTGGTGGGAAAAATTTGCAGGTGATAGAAAAGTGGATGAAGATACACATGTTTTCAGTAAGATATGTGTTCAAAATAATCGGTTTGAAGACTTATCAAGTGAAAAATTTCTTAAGTGCAATAGAGACTTTTGCACTGCACTGCCAACGATGATTGTAACACGGAGGTGTTTTTAATATACGACCAGACAGTGGCAATGAAGATCAGTTTAGCGGCAAATACTGTTGCTGCCAAACCAGTTGCGATTTCCTCATATGGTTGAAAGATAGAGTGCTTTTTGTAGCATCAGGTGGTAAATGAAGCGTAGGAAAATATTAGGGAATTTGGTCTGACATGACCTTTTTTC